CTCTCTCTCTCTCTCTCTCTCTCTCTCTCTCTCTCTCCCTCTCTCTCTTTCTCTCTCTCTCTCTGTATATATTTTTTTTCGAAAAAATGAGAATCTAAAATGTGCCTTTTTTAATTACTCAAATATTTGATTTGCTGCTGACTGTGACTGCTGCTTTCCAGCTAGGTCTGTCAAGAGCCGGGCTCTCCCATGTCGAAGTAAATAATATGTTGAAGTGCTTTAGAGACCTTTTCAGAGTGTCTTTCTAGCACTTTTTGGTGCACCAACCTTGTGTTTCCCTGAGGACAGCCCAGACTGCCTTCTGGATTCTGAAATCGTGCATTCTTACGACATTGCCAGCCCAGCGAAGTTAAGTCATTTTTAGCTTTGTAAACGGGCTCTCGGCATTTGCCCTTTTGAGAACACCATATTCGGTGGTTGTCCTACGCCGTAGAAACTAGGCCAGTAGGACGATATATTGCCAAACGCCCTGGTTGCTTACCGTTGGCCTTCTGTCACCAACATCGAAGCTGTAGCCGGAAAGAATGCTTAGATCTTCATCCGATTGATATGACATACATCATACCGCGGAGAACAGCGAGAGCCACTGAAGTGGTTCACTGAAATCCTTTCGCATGTGGCCGTTAAAGCTCAGTATGCCTCATCCGCCCTGGCTGGTAAAACCAAAGAGGTTTGTGGCTAGGCCAGGGCAAGATCGACTCTGGGATCGATTCTTTCGAGTCCAAATGAGGACTCAAAGAATCGATCTTGTTCGAGTCCGCCCAGGGTCGACGCCTCCCGTCTCCTTTTTTTAGCCTGGTTCCTAGCCTAGACTCTAAGCAAGAATCTAAATCTCTACTGCACTATTACAGTCCTGTCGTGGGATAGGCCTAGGGCTGTCCCACCCCACAGTCAAGTTTTTTGCTTCAAAACAGACACCGCACCAGGACGGGACTCATCCGGCGGCTTCTATGATGTTGGCCGAGGCGGAGTTAAAAATGCATTCCAAAAATTTCTTAAATATTGGCCAAATTTAAGAAATAATAAGATTTTCGTGATCAACGACCCAAAATTAGCAAAAATTACGCGAGGAACCCATTATAACGCCCGATTACCAAGTTAAATTAATTTTTGTGAGTTTTGTTTACTTATGTGGGTTTTTTTCACTATTTGAATTCGGCGTGCACTAGGCCTTGATAGTGCAAGAGAGAAGGAGCCTGTGCCCCACGCATTGGCAAGAGTCATAGAAGGGAGGCAACACACACACACACACACACACACACACACACACAC